CTCCGCCACCTTCCTTAGCTCAAGGTCTGGATCTGCCACTGCTTTCGCCTTTGTGCCAAAACAAGTCTGCAAGCAAAACCATTTATGGGAAAATGTGTTCTTCCTGCAGGTTTATTTTCATGCAAATCAAACTCACCTTTTCACAAGGACTTAAGTTTTGAATCAGAGGCACAGGGTAACTCTGAAATGGCTTATAAAGCTGTCTTTGCAAATTTGAGATTGATTGCTTTTTGTGTGATGCAAGTCATGTTAAGTCATAATTTGGCTCGTGGATTACCACCCAGAAATTTGAAGGACAATTTTCATGCTCATTACAACATAAAGTTGAGTTTTGTACCTTAAAGCTTGTATCATTCAATTAGATTAATGCACAACTTGCTTTGTTATCATTGAAATTTGGTTAATTGTAAGAACCTGTTGTTATCGAAAGAAAGCCCGTAAAGCATTCTATGAATACTGATCAATCCGCCTCTATTGTTGTGCTTTTGTGGTGCGTTAATGCATGAATTGAACAGCCCGCCATTTCAGCTCATTTAAAATATGAGAAATGCCCGAAGTTTTTTAATATCTGTTAACTCAAGTAGACAAATGTTCACTGGAACGACTAACAAGGATAAAACCAGCAGCTTCTTTGCTTGCTGACCTTAATTCGCCGTCTGCAATTAAAATGATAACAGAAATACGGGATACACGAAGTTCAAGAGTTTAGCTTGAGCTTTACAACTCTCGCCCTGCGACTCTCGAAAAAGCTGTGGGCAACGATCAGTGCATCACTGATATTTCCAACATTTTACCAGCTCTCACTTCAGTTATGACATATATATTATGAAATCGTGTAAGGCACAATTTAAGAGCTATGTTCTTATTTCACATTACATTATTTACCTGACGAAGAACGGGCAAAAGCTTACGAAGCTACGCTGCACCACGCGGACAACTCCCTCCCCGTGCCGATAAACAACTTATGGGTAATGATCGTGATATAAGAAATCACGATGCGTCCCAAAACGACCAACAAGCCATTTTCCTTACCTTGTGCCTCTGTTTCAAAACGAGTCCCCAAGCAAAACTATTCATGTGAAAAACAAGTTTGATTTGTTTGAAAATGAACTAGTAGGCGTAACCCTGGATGGAATGCTACTCCATCGTAGAGCCACCTGAAATGTTCGAACAGTTAAGGTGGCTCTGAACCCTAAATACAGAATTTTTTTAAACTTTGCCGAAAGTTGCGTCTTATCATGCTTATCAAAAGTTGACAAAATAAAAAAATTCACCGAGCCGTTTTTGAATTAAAGCCCCTAAAGCTGTAATTAAGGGTGTCTTTCGTAGGGAGGCATTGGGGCATATTAGAAACAGGGGCGCCCCTGATTAGAAACCGCAAAACCGAAGAAAAAATCATCCAAAACCGCAAAAAAAAATTCGCCCAAAACCGAAAAACGGATACAAAACCGTCAAAAACCGATACAATGGTGACAAGTGGGGCATACATGGCAAATTACACTAACACTAATTTTATCAAAGTATTTGTGAATGTCATGGACTTGTCTGAAGCCTTCGTATCTGTTAGTATCTTTTAGCCTCTGCAGGCTTCTCTCTTCCCTTTTCAGTTTCCATCTAAACGTGTTATTCTTTCGAAAATTCTTGCTGCCTTTCCCCTCCTTGCAAAAAAACGCAACACAATCCACAATTGCTCTTCCGTTGCTGGCTCGGGAGCCTGGGGGAGGGGG